ATGTTTTATACGTATATATTTGTTTTACTGAATTATTTGAAAATAATTGCCAACATCATGGCACTTTACTCATAAATACTTTAGCTTATATTGACTAAAAATAAATATTTCCTTCTTGATCACAATACCATTATTATAACCTCAAAAATTTAAGAAATATTTTTAATGTCATCTAATACCTAGACAATACACAAATTTCCAACATCCTCTCAAAAATGTATTATCAGGATCTAATCTAAGTTCAACTTTGCATTTGTTTGTTATATCACTTCATTTACTTTGATTTATTTTTTAATTCTCTTTTTATTGACGTACATGTACAGAAAAATGCAACAAATTTTAAGTATCCAGATGAATGAATTTTCACAGAGTACATATATCTAACTACTACACAGATCAAAAATAAAATATTACCAGAACTTCAGAATCCTGCCTTGTATTCTCTCCTCAGTATGCCTCCCTAAAGCTAACCACTATTCTGACATCAATTACTATTATTTTTACCTGGTTCTGAACTTTATACAGATGGACTCATACAGTATGCACACTGTCCCATAAGGTTTCCAAGGAGCGCCTGGTGGATTCGAACTGCCGACCTTTTGGTTAGCAGCCGCAGCTCTTAACCACTGCACCACCAGGGTTTCCTTATCTTGTTTAGCTTCTTCTAAACAACATTAAGTTTGTGAAATACATTAATATTGTTGCATGTGGCAGTAATTCCTTTATTCTCATTGCTATATACTATTATGTTTTATAAATATTCTACAATGTACTTGTCCCTTGTGGATTGGCCATTTGGATATCCTCTTTTTTTCAAATACATGTTGAAGTCTATGAACATTTCTAACTGGGTTAGAAATTCAATTTTCTTATTAATCTGTCATGCTCTTATTAATTTAGAAGAGTTATATACTGAGCATATGAGTTCTTAGTTGAATATATGTATTCCAAATATACTTTTCCACAGTGTTTCTTGTCTTTAAATTCTCGTAATTGTGTATTCTTCTGAGGAGCTGTTTATTATAAAGAAGTACAATTTATCAGTCTTCCTCTTCACAGCTAGTGCTTTTTGTGTTCTCTTTAAGAACTCTACCTGCTCCAAAGTCAGACATATATTCCCCTGTAGTTTCTTTTTGAGCTTTATTGCTTTACCTTTTATATTTAGATATACAATCCATCTGGGTTTTATTTTTGTGTGTGACATGAGGTAAGTGTCAGATTCACTTTTTCCCATATGGCTATCCAGTTGAACCATTTCCATTAATTGGAATGATCTTTTTTTTTTTCCTCTCTTCACTGAATATCAACTTTGTCATATATGAGGTGACCATATATTGGTAGATCTATTTCTGGGTTTCTACTGTGTTTCATTGATCTACTTGTTTTTCCTTGAGCCAATACAACACTGTCTTCATTTCCGTAACTTCTTAGTAAATGTTAAAATCTGGTAGTGTAAGTCTTCCAGCTTTGTCCTTCTTCAAGATTACCTTGACTATCCTGAGCCCTTTGCATTTCCATACATAATTAAGATTCAACTTGTCAATTTTTAGGGAAATAAAATCTTTCTGGGGTTTTGATTAGGTTTCATTGAATCTATAGATCAATTGTGGACAGTTGCCATCTTTACAATACTGAATCTTCTAATCCATAAACATGGAATAACACTCCATTTACTTGTCTTCTTTTATTTCTGTTAATAATGCTTTGTAGATTTCTATATAAAGTCCTTATACTCTTTTTTTAAGATTTAATTCTAGGCATTTGATGTTTTCTGGTGCTGGAGTAAATAAATAGTATTTGTTATTATTTTATTTCAAATTGATTGTTGCTGGTATAGAGCAATACAATTGAATTTATATATTCACTTTGTACCTAGAGACCCAGCTAGTCAAATAGTTTGACTATAGCTTCTTTTGTATTTTCTGCCATTTTTGTATTTCTATGTCATCTGAGAATAAAGACAGGTCTATTTCATTTTTTCCAATATTATGTCTTTTTCTTGTTTAATGCTCTAGCAAAAATCCCTAGTGCAATGTTGAATAGAAGAGGTGATAGGACCATCTATGCATTGTTTCAACTTTTTGTGTTATTATTGTCATAATTTTAATTATTCTTGTTTTGTACAGTCAATATTCATTTAGATTTTCTTACATAATAGTCTCAATGCTTTGAAACATGAATTTGCTTTAATGCAATTGATATAGAACAATTCTATATTATAGATAATACAAATTTTGCATTTCCTAATGCTCAATTTTATTCATGAGAAACACTGTATAAATGCAGAAAACTGTACCCCATTTAATTGAATAACGTAAGAATACACAAAATGCACACATGCGTTCACCTCAAACATCTGCCAGCTACCTGAGTTCACCACATGTGTAATAAATTATACCCGTACACATCTGATGTTATAACTTTCTGTTCAATTTCAAATAACTCTCCTTTCACCACTTCATAATGATTCACAAGCAACAATCTTTCTGACACCCATTTCCATAAGTAAACTTCAGGGTTTTTTCAAGATAAAATGCCATTTTTATTGTAGAATTTGTGTATTTAACCATGTAACGTGTAAACTTTGCTACAGTTTTTATTAAGTTCTTATCTTTTGTGTGTTTGTCACTCACAAATTTTTTGAGTGCTGTATACCTAAACACATTTTTCCCATAAGCCCTGTGGTTTTTATTATGTGATTTGCTGCATAATGTACTGATTTTTAGGAATGAATTATAGCAGAACTGACTGTATTTACCATTTCTACTGCTTTTCTTTACTTTCTGAATTTTTTTGCAAGGAGGTGGTATTCCTACTGAGATCTTTCCCTTCTGCCTGAAAAACTCTCTTTAGTTACTAAGTATGTATTTCTTTTGGTGTTTCTCTGCTGGTGATGAATTCCTTCATTTTGTCTGGAAATAGTTTTATTTTTCCATTACTTACGAAAGAGATTTCTGCATGGTATAGAAATCTAAGTTGGCAGGTATTTTCTTTCAGCATCTGACTTTTCTGTTAGGAAATCAGCTGTTAGTGATATTATTACTTTTTTTAGGTAATATGCTTCTTTTCCTCTGGATGCTAGTAATATTTTCTCTTTATCTTTGATTTTCATCAGCTTTTCTGTGATGTATCTAGTTGTGATTTGTTTGTACTTACCCTGATATGGGTTGATTGTGCTTTTTGAATCTATGGCTTGATATCTCTCATCAGTTTTTGAAAATTCTCAGCAATTAATGTTGCACGTATTATTCCTACTCCAGTCTTTCTCCTATGTGTCTAGGGCTCCAATTATACATAGGCTAGACCATGTCCCATAAGTTTCTTAATACTGTTTTCTATACTTTTCATCTTTTTTGCTTTTAATCCTTCAATCTAAATATTTTCTAGTGATCATCTTCCAGCTTACTTATCCTCTCTTCAGGTATCTCCAGTCTCCTCTCTAACCCATCTCCTCTCCTAAACTCATCTGAGTTATTAAATTCTAGTGATTTTATTATATTTTCTTGTCCAGAATTTCTGTTTGGATTTTTTGACAATCCCAGTTCTCTAGTGAAATTCTTCATTTCATCACCTATTTTATTGAATGTATTAGTCTAGTTATTTTAAAGTCTGTGTGAGCCCTGGTGGTGGAGTGGTTAAAAGCTCAGCTGCTAACCAAAAGGGTGGCAGTTCAAATCCACCAGCTGCTCCTTGGAAACCCTATGGGGCAGTTCTACGCTGTCCTATAGGGTCATTATGAGTCAGGATCGACTTGACAGTAGTGGGTTTGTTTGTTTGTTTTTCAGTATTTGATAAGTCCAATATCTAAAGTTCTTTTCTAGGCCCTTTCTCCTTGGTAATTCTGAACTCCAATTTTTGTCTCTCCAGCACACAAGGCTGCATAAATTTTCTTTCTACTCTTTAGCCACTTTTTGCTTGGTTTCTTTGCCTCTTATCCTGCACATCTTAATCAGCGAATATCTCAACTGTTGGGCTCATTTCTCTGCACCTTCCTTCTCTCTGGGATCTTGGCCCTTAAAGTCCTGGCTGCCATATTAGCATGGAAATCTATTCACTGGTTTAAAATTCTTCTGGCTTCATTACTTCAAAACAGTAACCCTCTGCCCATCTTTTAGTGTTGTGCTCACCTCTATTGGTTTTTCTTCTTTTTGAGATTTGCTCCCCAAAACCTAGCTGCCTATACAGCTCTCCAATACCTTAAAACTGACAGTTTCTATATTTTGTCCAGCTTTTCTAGCTTTTCCCAGCAGATTTGTCTTCTACAAGCTGCTTTCTCATAGCTAACCTTAGGAATGATTTGTCCAAAAGTTTTTCTAAATTTGTTGCATTGTCACTGGCCCTACTTCAGCTCAGTGCATAAAGCCCACCTGGTTCCTATCTGTCCTTTTCCTCCCAATATCTGAAGTAGGAAGGGACATTAATAATGCTGTACTAGGAAAGATTTAAGCCTTGGTTTCACTTTTCACATGTTAGTTTTGTTATGTTTTTTTGAACTTCAGGTACTCTATGTTCTTAACTGTAATGAGACTACATTTTAATCACACAAAAATTATCAGGTAATTGAATCCAATACTCCCTTGGGGACTTATCCATTTTGTTTTCTCTCTCAAGAGTAAAAACATTTAGCCACACTGAGTGAAGTGGGGACAGTGATCATGAGCATATTCACTGCTCCCTTTGAATATCTAGTAACATCCAACCAGGTCCTGGCCCTTTAAACCTAGGGAGAAAAGTTGAGAGAGACACAAACTTGTTGCTTTCCCAGTGTGGGATGTCCAGTAAATAACAGCATGGATTGCAGTGACCCAAACTTGGGTTCAAGACCATGCATTTCCAATTTTATGACCTTGAGCAAATCAGACTGTATAAAGTTTCTTCTATAAAGTGGGCAAAGTAATAGTACTTACCTCTTTTGTTCGTGGCGAAGTTTAAATTAGATAAAGCAGTAAAACACTTAACATACTACCTAGCAATTATATACACACTCAGTAAATGTTAGCTTTTTTTTTTTTTTTAAATCACAGTCCATTAACACTTTAGTAGTGACTCTTTACAGGGGCACTGAAAGATCCAGGACCCTAAATCAGCTGGTGAGGAGTACCCTGATAAACTTTACCTCCTTGACACTTTTGCTTTGAGAGTGGTTAAGAGACTACAAAATTAATTTGTGAGGTTCTTCTGATTTTGTCCCCCACCTACCCAAGTTCTAAAAACCAGAATGTGGCAAAGGAAGAAAATATATCTGCTGCCTTAGGATAAGGAAATATTATATTTATAAATGTGTGTAAGCACCTTTTGTGCGGATCTCTGCAGGTATCTCCCTCTACGCCTGTCACTGTCTATGCTCATTCGCAAACATTTATTAAGTTTCTCCTACATTTCAGTCACTGGCAAAGGTAGCAGGCATATCAATAAAGAGCCTATACCAAGTGCCAATGTTCTATTTCCTCTGCATATGTATGTCACTTAGTCCTCAGCATATGCCTCTAAAGTACAAACTCTTGTTACCCTAATTTTACAGATTAGAAAACTGAGGCACAGAGAGTAACTTGTTCAAGGTCAAACAGATAAAAATTAATGGATTAGTCCTTGTTCTCATGGTGCTCACAGTCTACAAAATAGAGAGGTTATTAGTAGAGCATTTTTAAACTACATCAAATGTAATATTACCCAAAAGCTAGCAAGCATCTAGGTAATTGGAAATTAGTTTATTTTTCAATTTTCATTTAGTCATTTGGAGTCATGTATTTACAGCCTGCATCTGTGTTTCTAGCATTCTTGGTGTCTCATTATTTGTCTGCATAAGAAATACAATCAGCTTCCTTTTCAGAGTAATTTTAATGGCCTTTGAACAGACTAACCTGAGATTCCTCTAAAATGCTTTTAGAAATACTAATGTAACTGTTCTTTAAAAAACAGAAGTGTGTTAATGATAAGTGTAAGTTGCTTAACTGACAACTTTGTTAGAAGGAGTATTAAGAAATCTAGAATATTTTTTATTCAGTTGACAAGACTCCAGCATAACTGCAGTTTGTTAAGAATGACTAAGATATAAAACATAATATATGTGAGAATATTTAATCACTACAGAAAACAATGCCTAGAAACATATGATTTGGAAAGTTGCTAACCAATTTGCAATCTGGTTAAGAATAATATTCTACAAGGCATGTGTGGTATGATTTCCACGCCGTGAATTTGATCACTATCGATATAATAGGTGGGTCATAGGAGACTATCTCTGTCTTTAGAATTTAAATACCAGTGCTACATTTTTAAGATGTAATATAAATATTGTTTTAAAGGAGACTATTCTCAAGAAATCAGTCATGCAATGAGGAAATGTTGTTAGAAGCCTAGAGCTGTAGAATATAGATTTCCTCAAGTTGAAAAGGTTCTTGGAGTCTCCTCAGGATGTTTGGGATGGAGGGAAAGAACAACAATCAACAAATATTAATAAACAAACATCTGAGCACCCTATTCTGTGTAGGCAACTATGCTTGTGGTTTAGATGACCCTCCATCTCATTTTTAAACTTATTTTATGGTTTTATATTCTTACTCCACCCCTGCTATCCCCTCCTATACACACACATACACAGTAAAGTGTACAATAAAGGAAAGAATTGTTTTTATTGACATATCTTTAGTACCTAAAAGAGTGTCTATAGTTTGTGCACAATACATAATTGGCAAATGAATATGTGAAACAAAAATGTATAAGATACAGTCTTTGCCCTTACAAGATGGCAGCACGGGGTAGAAGAAAGACAGCTCAACTGGAAGTACAGAGACCAAGGCTCTCATCCTGGTCTGGCCAGAACTTTTTCAGCCTCAGGCGGAAGACTTCAATTTCCTTATGTGTAAAGCAATTGGACTATCTCTAAAATCTCCTTTTACTTTAAACGCCATCATTCTATATCAGTCTTCAAATATGTGAAGAATGTTCACCCCTTGAGTATAAAAGAAAGGGCAATTTGCTTAGAGTTTTTCTAGGAGGTAAATCACTAATGAGATGGATTTGGCACCCAAAATAGCCAAAACAGTCTTGAAAAAGAAGAAACAATGTTGGAAGACGTATTCATTTTCTAGAGCTGCTATAAGAATTTACTACAAACTAGGGACTTCAAACAACAGAAATTTATTGTCTTACAGTTCTGGAGGCTAAAAGTCTGAAATCAAGGTGTCAGCAGGGCCACATTCCTTCCAGAAGCTCTGGGGAAGATTTCATGCCTCTTCCAACTTCTGCTGGCTGCACCACTCCAACATCTACCTTCATCTTCACTATCACCTTCTCTTCTGTGTGTCTCTCCTCTGTGTGCTTCCTAGAAAGACATTTGTCACTGGATTTAGGGCCTACCCAGAAAATCCAGAAGGATCTCCCCATCTCGAGATCCTTAACCTAATTACCTCTGCAAAGATCCTTTTTCTAAATACGAAACCATTCACAGGTTCTGGGGCTTACAATATGGACATAACTTTTGGGGACCACCATCCAGCCAACTACAAGCATAAAATAGGGAAACTTTATCACCACATTCACTTTCTATGGAGTGGGTCCAAATTCTCACACCCTGAAGTCTGGTGCAAACAAATGTACCTTTCTTTGTTTTTCTATAACCACTTTTTCTCTATTTTGAATTCCCCATTTCTCAGAGCAATCAACTCCAAATTCCAGGGTCTCTCCCCTTGGGGTTCTGTCTATCCATGTGAGCGTCAGCTGAGACACCCTCAGCCCCCTCTAGCCTCTGACAAGCAGCCCACACAGGTCACTATCACACAGTTCCTGACCATGCCCTCATTTTCCCTTCTCTTCAGGCCTGTGACACTCCTTGCTGCTACAATACACTGCAAGGCATGTGGGAGCTCATCTTGCTGTCTCAGCACCCACCTGCCTAGCCTGGCATGGCAGAAATGACCAGGGAAACCTCCTCAGTTCATAAAATGAAATTTCTCTACATGGCTATCAGTGGAATATATTGTCTCATAGTCTCTGGAAATAAGACTGACAATCATCTCACAGAATATTGCTGAAGAGATTTCAATGAGAGAGAACAAACCAATTTACCAAAACTCACAGAATTTTACAGCTGAACAGAATTTTAGAAAGGGTAGTCCTCTAATTGTATAGATGAAAACGCTAAGGCCATAAAGATTTTAAAACTACTCTCTCCAAGCCATGCTGCAAAATGGCAAATCCAGACCCAGTGCTCTCTCTCCCCTTGAATCACCCTGTCTCACCCACTGTGCCCCAGGAACATGGATGAATCTTCAGTAAAGGCTTGTGTAGTTATTGTGGTTTGGGAGGGATGTGGGCCTCTCACTGACCCACAGCAGATTGAGCCTAGCCTAATTCCATTGGCTGTATAGCAAATTTCTTCAAATTAAACATCTCCTAAAATCCCAACAGAAAGTTCATCAAATCTCAGAGTTCACACTGGTAGTCTTGACACCCCACCCAGACCCTTTCTCCTCTAGTTGATTTGCTGAATCGTGGATTGGGTGGACCCTCTCTGAGGCACTAAGGCAAGTAGTGGCGCAATGGTTAAGGGCTTGGCTATTAACCAAAAACAAAGGTTGGAGAGTCGAACCTCCAGCGGCTCTGTGGAAGAAAAACCTAGAGATCTGCTCCTGTAAAGATTACAGCCTAGGAAACCCTATGGGGCAGTTCTACTCGGTCACATGGGGTCACTGAGTCAGAATCAGTTGGAAGTTACCTAACAATAACAACAGGCCAGGTGCTGGGGCAGCTTGCCTTGAAAGTGAAGCAAGACAAAAACAAGGGAGGAAGGGCCAGGAAGAACTGAGAGCGTCCTCATAGTAGGCTGCCTGAGGACAGAAAAGGAGAAGGGCTGAAAGGGTTTCTAGACACTTCTAGAGGTGTATTTTGCACAGCAGCCTAATTGCAGGGGATACAACAGTTTGAAGTTGAAATGTAGCCCGCAGAAAAAAAGAATAATAAAATAAAATGGTCTTCTTCTCTCCCTTTTTTCTCCCCATGGCCCAATGCCTCCTCACTTCCTAATCTTTCTCCCTCTTTTCCATGCATCTGTTATCACTCCTTCCTCTTCAGTGGCCAACTTCTTTATCCCCAGGCTTTCCTTTTCCCCATTTCCCTCTCTCCCTTCATTTCTCCCTTCCTTTATTTCTTTTTTTCCTCTCTCATTCTTTTCACTCTTCTGCAAAGGGCCATAGTATAGATTTTTTTAGTTAAGTTTTACTTGTTAGATAAAGTAATACATGCTATTTTCTTTTTTAAATGAGTGACTGAGCAATTTAAAATTTTTTTTCCTCCCGTATGTTCTTTATATGTCAATGGCCCCAAATTATTAATTTTGCCCTATAGATCAGTGACCCCAAAAGATAATAGATTCCACATGAGGCCTTTTGAAGTCCTACCCTCTAAAGTGTTTGACCACAAGAAGAGTTGGGTTGTTTCTCTTCTGCATTCAGAGGATAATTATCATTTGATCCTGTGGAAGAAAGTTACTATCAGCGTGATCTTGGGAAGCTAGACTCTCTCAGACCCAATCAAAGGAGAGGCTCACTATTCTGCTCTTACCTACCTCATGTCACCTCAAGAAGGGACATGCTGGACATGAAATGGACAATATCTTTAGGAGGTGAAGAATTTACCCCTATTGAAGCAAGTGCCTCCTCAGGGCCTAAGAAGAAGATCTTAGGGCTCTCCAAAATTTGAGGGCAAAAGCATTATGCGTGTATATACTGGGTTTATTTTGTACAGGTATTTCTTAAAGAAAAAGACAGGATTAGGATGCTCAGGTGCCATATTATTATTCACTCAAGTATGCAGGACTAGCACAGTTTGCTGCCTATCGTATATACTAAAAATATGTACCGAAGTGAATTAGAGTTGAGTAGTTCAGGAAGCATGAGAAGTAACCAGCATGAATGAAAAAGAGGTCAGAGACTGGTCTATACTGAGGAGTAGGGTTTGCCAGGTTGTATGTGGTCAGATTATGAAGGGCACTGAAAGCCAGGTGAGTAGCTTAGACTTGATGTTTCAGACAAGAGGAGGCTTTGATAAGTGTCTTTGATCTAAGGGGTGGCAATAATAAAGCAATGTTTAAGAAAGATTCACCTGGCAATGTAAGGTAGGATGAACTAGGAACAGAATGGAACCAGAGGCCCCAGCCAGAAGACGGACACAGAAATCCAGTCATAAACTAATGAGGGTTCAGACTGGAATGGTAGAAATAGGATGGCTGTACCAACACTGAACTAAGCTGCATTCCTTAAGTTCACTTAAGACAACTACGTATTTAAGTTAAGAAGCCCTGGTGGTGCAGTGGGTTAAGCATTTGACTGCTAACTGAAAGATCAGTGGTTCAAACCCATCAGCTGCTTCAGGGGATGAAAGATGTGACAGTCTGCTTCCGTAAAGACTTACAGCTTTGAAAATCCTATGAGACAGTTAGTTCTACTCTGTCCTATAGTGTCCTATAGGGTCACATGAGTCAGAATTGACTGTATGCAATGAGTTTGGTTTTTCGAGTTTTAGTTTAAATGGTGATATACTTGATGGGTTTAATAACCAAAAAAACCTGATATATTACATTTAATATTCCTTTCTCAGAGCCTTGCAGTATTTACTCTTTAATGCACTGTAGCCATTATCTACTTGACACTCTCACTGCATACACACAGACACACACACACACACACACACACACACACACACACAGACGCCCATTGCCATCGAATCAATTCCAACTCATAGTGACCTTATAGGACAGAGTAGAACTGCCCCACAGGGTTTTCAAGGTAGAAGTACCGACCTTTCAGTCAGCAACTGAGCTTTTAATCACTGTGCCACCAAGGCTCCTATATAGATATATTGTTGCAGTGTGCCTATCATAGCAACTCTATAGGACAGAGTAGAACTGCCCCATAGGGTTTCCTAGGATGTAATCTTTACAGGAGTAGATTGCCAGATCTTTTCTCCTGTGGAACCGCTGAGGTGTTTGATACTGCACATATAAAGACCTAATACTTGATAGAAAACTTCATTATAATTTGATTAATGGGTGCAGCTGTGAGGGGGTAGCTGGCATCATAAGGCTTGGGTTTTGATCCCAGTTCTCCCAATTAGTAGCTGTATGGCCTCAGGCAAGTTATTTCACCATCTTGAATTTCAATTTCCTCAGCCATAAAATGAAGATTACAGTACCTCTCTACAGGATTACAGTTAAATTTAAATGAAAAAAAGAGTACATGAAGGTACTTTATAAATTTTAGAGTGCAATCTGAGTACAAGATTTTATTTTTGTGTGCAGTTATACATAAATCAAAACTAAAGTTCTCAGTCATTCAAAATGAAACTTCATTAAAGATATACGTAGCTATCTCTTTCCTGCAGTTGTTGGGGTGGACCCCACTGCAAAAGATGAGAGGAAGTGGCATCAGGCAAGCAGGTGACATCGTAAGTATTGCCAAGAGACAATAGAACTACAGTCAAGTCTGTTAAATAACAACTGTGATGCATTGCAGACAGGAAATGCATCAAGACTTGGCGAGATGGGGTGGGTATCAAGAAGGTCTGGTATCAGGTGCTGGCACCCTAGACATGGCACTGAAGTTCAGGCCAAGACTGGGGGTTCAAAGAGGACGTGCAAAAGCAAAACCAGACCGAGCTTCAGGAGAAACTTTGAAAGAGACAAAAAAAAAAAAAACCCCAAGGCAGAAGCATAGGCACAGGACAAAACAAGACACAGGCATGTCACTAGAGGTAGGTTTTGGGGAAACAACTTTGGCATAAAGGACAAGGTAGTAATATTGTAATTAAACCAAGACCAAAATGTAAGCCAGTCAGCCAAAGGCTAACACAACACTGAGCTGCCTGAGCTACTGTCCTCGAGTTCATGAAATTTCCTCCCTACTGGTAAGGTTGATATTTTTTAAACTGAAGTGCAAAACCAAAAAAAAAAAAAGAAAAATTACCAAACCAGCAGCTGTCGAGTTGATTCCAACTCATTGCAAACGGGAGGTTATATTCATACCTATTAAATTTCATCTTGTTTCTTTTGGCCCATCAATCCAGCTTGTCAGTATCTTTTTGAATCTTGACTCTGTCATCTAAGTAATTAGTTGTTGCTCCCGGCTTCGTGTCATCTTCAGATTTGATGAGTGTGCTTTCTAAGCTTTGCCACTGGTTTATTAAAAGCTGAATAGAACAGAGCCAAGAAGAACAATGTGGTACATCCCTAAAACCTTCCTTTGGGATACAGCCAACTTCAAAGCCACTTCTTAATATGTTCTCAGTGAACACCAGTTTCTTCATTTTTCCACAAGAGCATCAAAGGAG